TACAAGAAGACACACAATTGACTATTCACTATAAAATAAAAGGGAAATATAAAAACAGAAATAAAACTTTTACCAAGATTTATCCTGCAACTGGAGCAAGTCATGGAAAGTGTTATGTGCAATTAAACCATGGCAACATCTAATGTTTGTGTAGTATTATGTTCATCAGACTGTGTTCTTCTATTGTTGTGACTTAGATGACGTTCAGAGCGCATTTTATGCCCAATTCATGCAAAACTCCACGTAATCCCAAGGGGTTCACATACTTTTTCTTGCAACTGTACCTCAAGTCCTCAATTTATGGGAATATGGGTTGGACATTAGTCCTTGGCCAATCAACCCTGGGGGGTGTTCCTGTACCAGCCCACAAGATGTTCTGGGTGCTGAAATGCCCAAAGTCAATTGGACCAGGAACGGTTTGAATTACCAAGTCAGGGATTGAATTTCTGACACCAGCACATCAGTCCGATCGTGACAGTACCAATCACTGTTCAGCTGTCGCAATCCGGTTCCACACAACCATTTCCTGCATTTTTCTGGCATTCCACAAATACAGTTTTTACATGCAGATGTAGCCTACGGAGTGTCCAATCAGAAGGAAGTATTTTCATCTCTCTGCAACTAATATTTTCACTTTTATGAGAGATAAAATATATTCCTTTGATCTACTGATACAATGTGTAGCTCCCAGACAGATCTGGCCTCCACTGTGTCATGAAGCCAAACTGTCCTAAGCCCATTTCCTTCCAGATTTCCAGGAGGTGACAAATCTTATTGGCACCCAGGTGTCACCTCCTTCCAGAGGAAGCTCTGTCCCTTTCAGATGCTAATTGGTGATCATATGCCTCTGCCTTAATTCTGAACACATCTTATATTACCATGGAATGAGCTAAACCTACATTGTCATATTTTCTACAGATCACATCTCAGCTACTCAAATCTTTATATTTATGTCACATCTCAGCTACTCAAAACTTACATATACGTTACACCAGCTCTAAAAGACACCGTAGAAAATGGCTTTAGTAAACTTATAGGCCTTTAAACATGTTTCGGCACAGGATATAGGATTTTAAGTCAATCCTCTATGGCAGTTTGCCAGTCTATCCAAGTTCAATACAATTAAATACAACTACAAGCTTATCTTTACTGTAAATCTATCTGTTCTATCTACAGTATCTCTATAAATCTGTCTAAAATAAATACTTATAGGAAATAAGCTGCCATAAGAAGTATGCCAAATTCTGCAGAATGTATATATATATATATATATATATATATATAAATATATAAAATATTTTTTAGAAAATGTTAATTGTTAATATAAAACTTAATGGCTTCTTTATTGCTGTCTTTTGCATATACAGTAAGTCCTCAACATAATCATAAATGGTAAAATGATAGTTCTGAAGATTATATTTTGCCATCTGTTATTCACCATGAATTTATATTCAGTTGCTGCACTGATTATAATTTCATTTTAACTCCAGCCTCTAAACAAGTCAATTTCTCTGCGGATAGTAAAGCCCACTTCATTTCTCACTGTGACGCTGTCCAAATATGGCTAGGTTTGGGAGTTTTGTATATTGTTTAACTGACTGTTCTTCAGCCCCTTTCAGTTGTGTATTTTCCATCACTCTATTACTTTGAAAATGCTTAGATATTCCGTCTAATAACAATGGGGGATGAATGGCAGAAAATTTACATTTTCTCTCCATGTATTGCTCTCCAAACACTATAATGTCAAAGCAGTGCATTGAATATCCAGCAGCAGCTCCATTTAGGAGTGTTTGATTGAGTACCATCTGATAAAATGGCTGCTCTGTATTATCTGCATTTTATATTATCTTCCATCCTGGGGAGACTTAACTCCTTATTCCACAGCATGAGAGAAGCAGAAAATGCACTTTTGGAAATTTGCTTCTTTTGGAAATTTGTATCTGTTTTGTTTTATTCAATAACACAAATGAACAAATATTGTTTAAAACCCATAGCTGCTAAAACCACTAAATATACCGATTAACACTTCTTACTATTGCAGTGGGCAAGTAACCATTCCACAAAAAATGCACCCATGATCGATTCACTCTGCTCATTGGCAGCAATTCTTTTAAAGATTAAAGCCTATGTTTAAATTATCATAAGGCATAGCACTTACCTCCATTGTGATGTGTCCCTTGTACTGCTGTTTCCTGATTTAACAAAAATCATCTTGATTTGATTGTTTATGTACTGTACATCATGGGACATGGTGATATCACATACGTGAAAAATTTTCACAGCCTAGACATATAGAGGGGCCCCAAATCATTAATCACCTCCACACCAGTTACAGTGTCCCTGATCACCGCCACACCAATTACTGTGTCCATGATCAACACCACACTAGTTACTACATCCATAATCAATACCACACCTTCAAAAAAAAAAAAAAAACAGAGTGAAGTCCCCCTCCAAAATCCATAATCTGAGCACACAGCCTCCCAGGCCAGAAAAAGAAGGGACAATCTCCCTAAATTACGCCACACTACATGCCCTTAACATTGGGAGGGTGCCCTAGAAGGAAAATCCTAATCTCAATGTTGATGAGAAAATGGGGACAAAGGCCACTTCCCTACAACCCTAGTCCAGTGGTTGTGGGGGTGCGGGGTGACTTATTGGAATCTAAAATATGGGAGCTGAGAAAATTCTGCTGCTCAGTGACTGAGAGCATATTAACCCTGTCCCCAATTGAGAACACCTTTACTGCTAATGCAATAAAAGAGCAAAATATGCTCCCATGTTTTCTAGCGTAGATGCCAAATGCCTTATTGCACTTATAATTTTTCCGAAGCCTGGTACATTTACCCTTTTTTGAGTCCTGTTTTCTCATGGAAAGATGAGGAGATTGGGTCATGGAAAAAAAGAAAAAGCAAAGCAGCAAGCCCAGAATTTGACGGGAGGTATATTAAGACAGGATAATGTTTTAAAGTGGATAGAGAAAAGCTGCACAAATGAATGTGAGGTTTGAGATTTGGCTGAGGGCAGCAGAATAAAATTGTGGAGGGTAAATATAGAAAATGCTGGAAGATTAGATTGTTGAGGAAAGGAAAGACAATGGGTGAGACCCGACTATGGAGTAGGTGAAGATAGGAAGCACTTAGATCAACCTGTGGTGAAGATGGGCTAGTGAAGCTGTGAGCCTGGATTGTGTAAGAGGAGAATAGGAAGCAGGGCCATATTTTAAAATGGAAGAAGAAAGAAAACAGCAATGGGTGGGAAAGGTTTGCAGCACCAGAATGAAACTGTGAAGGGAAGAGTAAGAGAATGCTGGAAGACTAGGATTGTAGAAGATCAGGCATTGGAAGAGAATTTTCATTAAGGAGGACAGTGAGGGAGAATTGTTGAAAAGAGCATGAGAGGAGATAGTAAGGGCCATGACACACTATAAATTCTATTCCTGGTTTTATGTTGCACCAGCTGCAAAATTGCCAGTGTGACCGAAGACTAAAACCAATTTGTGATGGATGAGAGAGACTGAATTGTTCAGATGTGAAATGAAAGAGGAGCTATAGTAGATCAGAGTGATTGTATTCCAATAACAAACATGTTATACTTACCTTTTCTTGGGTCCTGCTTCTTCCTCCTCCCCCTGCTGAGTGCCCACCATAGGAAACCACTTCCTATGTTGGGCATTCGCGTGGGCCTGCTCCCGAGCCGGGCAGTTTGCGCCTATTCAGACACACAGCCCGGCTGGGCCCTACTGCCCACTCTCTGCTCACAGGTTTTGACTGACAGCAGCAGGAGTATATGGCTCTTGCTGCTCTCAGCCAAGCCTATGAGAGCTGGGAGAGGGGAGAAGAGCTTCTGCAGGTGTGCACAGCGCTGGACTGATATTGGGCTCAGGGGAGTTTAGAGGGAAGGGGGATGCTGCAGGGGATGCTGCATGGAAAAGGTTTTTCACTTTAAGGTAAAAAAACCACTTACTTTTACAACTTTAAAGAGGCAGTAGAAAGAGGAGGTAGCAGAACTGATATTGGAGGAGAGAACACAGTAGTGTCCAACAAACAAATACATATAATTTATAAAGCTACAACCCCAATTCTAAAAAATATACATTAAAAACAGAATGCAACGATGTGCAAATCTCATAAACCAATATATTATTCACAATCGAAAAAAAAAAAGATAATTTTGAAATTGATGTCAGCAACATGTCTCAAAAAAGTTAGGGCAGGGCCATGTTTGCCGCAATGTACCATCCCCTCTTATTTTAACAACGCTCTGTAACTGTCTGGGAAGTGAGGAGAATAGTTGCTGAAGTTTTGGGAGAGGAATGATGTCCAAGCCTTGCCTAATATAAGATTCTAATGGCTCAACAGGCCTAGATTTTGTTTGCCATATTTTTCATTTCAATATGCACCAAATATTTTCAATTGATAAAAGGTCTGGACTGCAGGCAGTTAAACACCGGACTCTTCTATTACGAAGCCATGCTGTTGTCACAGATGCAGTATGCAGTTTTGAATTGTCCTGCTAAAATATGCAAGGTCTTCCCTGAAAAAGACATCACCTGGATGGGAGCATATGCTGCTCCCTGGATATATCTTTCAGCATTGACGGTGCTTCTCCAGAGGTGTAAGCTACCCATTCCATACTCACTAATGCACCCCATATCATCAGAGATGCAGGCTTTTGAAATGAGCTTCTCTTCTCTTTAGTCCATAGGACACAGTGCCCATGGTTGCCACAGAACAGCTTACCAAAAGCAACAGATCATTTTAAATCACAGCAGCCTTTTACCACGTGATCAGCCTTGTCCAATGACACGCTGATCACCGGGAAATGCAATTGCCAGTTCTCGGCTGCACTTTCCTCACGCTGTCAGAGAACCGGCAGTGGTCAGAGCAGGGATCGGCACCGATTATCAGGGCACTGATGATCAGTGCCCTGATGATCGGTGCCCAGCAGTGCCACCCACCAGTTCCGCCCACCTGTTCCCAGCAGTGCGCCCACCCGTGCCCAGCAATGCGCCCAACTGTGCCCATCAGTGCACCCTCCTGTGTCCAGCAGTGCACCCACCTGTGCCACCCAGCAGTGCCACCCACCTGTGCCCAGCAGTGTCACCCACCTGTGCCCACCCACCTGTGCCCACCAGTGCCACCTACCAGTGCCCATCAGTGCAGCCCAGCAGTGCTGCCAGTCAGTGCCCAGCAGTTGCCCCAGTCAATGCCTAGCAGTGCCATCAGTCAGTGCCCAGCAGTGATGCCAGTCAGTGCCACCTATCAGTGCTGTCTATCAGTGCCACCTATCAGTGCCGCCTATCCGTGCCACCTCATTAATGCCGCCTATCAGTGCCGCCTATCTGTGCCACTTCATTAGTGCTGCCAATCAGTGCCGCCTATCAGTACTGCCTATCAGTGCCCATCAGTGCTGCCTATCAGTACCCATCAGTGCCACCTATTAGTGCCCATCAGTGCTGCCTCATCAACACACATCAGTGAAGGAGAAAAATTACCTGTTTGAAAAATTTTATAATAGAAACAAAGAAACTTTTTTTTTCAAGTTTTTTGCACTTTTTTTGTTTATATCGCAAAAAGTAAAGTGCCCAACAGCGATTAAATACCACCAAAAGAAAGCTCTATTTGTGCAAAAAAAATTATAAAGATTTCATATGGGTACAATCTTGCATGACCACTCAATTGTCAATCAAAGTGCAACAGCGCTGAAAGCTGAAAATTGGCCTGGTAAAGAAGGGGTATAAGTGCCCGGTAGGCAAGTGGTTAATGCAGTGTCATCTCTGGGTATATAGTATTGCGTTTTGGCCTTATCCCTGGTGCACAGAGATCTCTCCCAGATTCTTGTAATCTTTTGATATTATGTAGTGTTGATATTTTTAAAGTCTTTGCAATTTTACATTGAGAAACATTATTCTGAAATTGTTCGACAATTTCTAGATGCAGTTTTTCACAGATTGGTGAACGTCCATGTATCTTTTACTTCTGAGAAGTTCTATCTCTTTGAAATGCTCTTTTAACCCGATTATGTTACTGACCTGTTGCCAATTAACCAGAATAGCTGTAAAACGTTTTTCCATCTCTTCCATTTTAGTAGCAATAACATTACCAGCCTTTTTGTTGCCCTTTCTTAAAATGGTACATTTTCCCTGTTTAAACATTTGATATGTTTTCTGTTTTCTATTGTGAATAAAATATGGGTTTATGAGATTTGCACATCTATGCATTCTATTTTTATGTAGATTTTACACAACATCCCAACGTTTTTGGAATTGGGGTTGTACAATTCCTAGTATGAATGCTGAAAAGTATATTCCCACAAAAAATAGGACTGATCACAGGTTAGATCAGGGAGTGAGTGAACTGCTGTCACATGTATGGGTCCTGTTCTGACCAAGATCTGAATGGGGTGGTCCATCCAGAACCTGGGACTCTGGTGTATTTAAAAGTGGAGTACAGAAGGCCGAACACTGAGCACTGGCAGGCCACATGTTGGATGTGTGGTACCAGGGCTTGGGTCACATGCAGGGGGTGCAGACACAGCAGTTTGTTATTTGTGGAAAGCCAAGAAACTTTCTTAAAATAATGAGTTTTGGTAAAGCTGACGTAATTCAGATAATGTGTGGATTTGAATGACAGCTCCATTTAAACCCTAGAAATAAGTGAAGTAAATAAGTTTAAATAAATAAACAACATGCTTTTGTAGGTCATTGGCATAAAATAACTATTTCAATCATTCGATGTGAATTTTTAAGTCTGTCAGGAAGGATGAAGTTGTGTAAACAAGGTAAGAAGATTTTCCTCTATAGGTGAAATGTTGCTTAGCTGTCTAAATGCATGTGAGATGGTTCATGCTTCCTCTGAAAGGCAATCTCTCTGTCGATGTCTATGTCAACATAAATGAATAAATCAGGTAATTACCCAAATCTCAGCTGACTGGCGTATGTGGTGAAGTGCGTCAAGCCAATCATGGGCTCATGTTTTCACTGTTTCCTGTGGAGGGCTCTTGCTATCTATACAATCATCTCTGCAAATCAAAACAATCTTATTTTTCTGATTGACTGCACTAGCATGCAGAGGATCCCAAGTGGAGGGTGTGAATGCTGAAATTCCCGGGCAGTACAATCAGGATTAATGTCAATTGCTCTAATTAGGTTTTAATTAGCGTTTATTTGTTTCTGAATAAATGTACAAGTGCACAGAAATATGTAACAAAACAAGGGACAGAACAAAAACATGAAAGGAAACTTTCAGGTTTTATAAAACAGAATTGCTTTCTGGCAAGATTGAGATACTGTACATAGTATGAGTATATGTATATTATAGTGCACTATTTTGCCAAAAGTATTGGGACACCCCTCCAAATCATTGGATTCAGGTGTTCCAATCACCTTCATGGCTATGTATGTATAAAATCAAGCACCTAGGCATGCAGACTGCTTCTACAAACATTTGTGAAAAAATGGGTTGCTCTCAGGAGCTCAGTGAATTCAAGTATGGTACCGTGATAGGTTGCCACCTGTGCAATAAGTCCATCGGTGAAACTTCCTTGCTACTAAATATTCCATGGTCATTTAATAGTGGTATCATAACAAAGTGGAAGCAACTGGGAACAACAGCAACACAAAGTGGTAGGCCATGTGAAATGACAGAGCGGGGTCAGCGCACAGTGCGCAGAAGTTGCCAACTGTTTGCAGACTCAATAGCTAAAGACCTCCAAACTTTGTGTGGCCTTCAGATTAGCACAACAGTGTATAGAGAAAGCTTCAAGGAATGGGTTTCCATTGCCAAGCAGCTGCATCCAAGCCTTACATCACCAAGTGCAATGGAAAGCGTTGGATGCAGTGGTGTAAAGAATGCCGCCACTGGACTCTAGAGCAGTGGAGATGTGTCCCCTGGAGTGACAAATCTTGCTTCTCGGTCTGGCAATCCAATGTATATGTCTGGGTTTGACTGTTGCCAATAGAATGGTACTTGCCTGGCTGCATTGTGCCAAATGTAAAGTTTGGTGGAAAGGGGGTTATGGTGTGGGGTTGTTTTTCAGGGTTTGAACTTGGCCTCTTACTTCCAGTGAAGGAAACTCTTAAGGCGTCAAAATAAAAAGACATTTTGGACAATTTCATGCTCCCAACTTTGTGGGAACAGTTTCCTGTTCCGACATGATTTCACACCAGTGCACAAAGCAAGGCCCATAAAGACATGGATGAGTGAGTTTGGGGTGGAGGAACTTGACTGGCCTGCACAGAGTCCTGACTTCAACCTGAAGGAAGACCTTTGGGATGAATTAGAATGGAGACTGCGAGCCAGGCCTTCTCGTCCGACATCAGTGCCTGACCTCACAAATGCGCTTCTGGAAGAATGGTCAAACATTCCCTTACACACACTCCTAAACCTTGTGGAAAGCCTTCTCAGAAGATTTGAAGCTGTTATAGCTGCACAGGGTGGGCCAACTCAATATTGAACCCTGCGGCCTAAGACTGGTATGCCATTAAAGTTCATGTGCATGTAAAGGCAGGCGTCCCAATATTTTTGGCAATATAGTTTATGAGTATATAGAATATAGTATGAGTATATGTATATTATAGTATGAATATATAGAGTATAGTATGCAGGGCTTTTTTTCTCAGAGAATAGCTGTAGGAACTCCCCCCTTCTGAGTCACCCCTTGTTTCCGCCCCCCTACCTACCCCCGAGCAACGTCCCTTTGTTCCACCCCCAATCCACCTCCCAGTATGGCTTCTTTTAGAGAATACACAGCCAAGCATAATTTTGTATGGAATTTGTTAAGGATAACGAGAAAAGCAGTTAAATAGATCCCCTGCAGCGAGCAAAAATAGCCCCTCTTCAGCGACAATAGACCTTTCCCAGCGACAATAGACCACCATGAAAAAATAAATTCCCTCAAGTGACAATAGATCCCCCAGCAGCCAGCATCAATAGACCTTCCAGCACACCCCAGAACCCCATGCCATTACATACATTCAGCGCTGGAGGTGCTGGAATGCGTTCCCCCACATTCCCGCTGAAAAAAGCCCTGATAGTATGAGATTATGCAGGGCTTTTTTCGCAGACAATAGGTGCAGATATTCTCACCCCCATGCCAACTTGACACCAATTACCTTGCCCTCAACCATCTATAGAGCTCTCCCACTGACCTCCATCAGTACAAAGCCCCTACACCCCAGTAGAAAACCCCCTCCACAATACAGACCCCCCCCCACAGTGCAGCACCCTCAGTACAGAGCTCTCCCCATAGTGCAGATCCCCCAATGTACAGAGTCCCCTTTCCCATAGTGCATAGCTCACAGTCCAGAGCTCCCTGACAGTATAGAGTTCCAAAGTACAGAACCCCCCTTCTCCCACAGTACAGAATTCTCCCAACATTCACCTGAAAGTGCCAGGGAGACGTCCTCAGCAAGGGATGCAGGAAGAACAAGGATCTGGTTCAGCTCAGCTGCCTTACTCACATTCTCTGCTGGTTTCCGTGTTTTCCATTGACAGCGTGACTATTCAGGGGCTGCTGTGTTTTGTTAAGGGGCCATGTGAGGTAAAAGGGGGCAGTGATATGAAGAGAAAAGAGGACACTGTGGGACTTCTTTAAAGAGGGGACTGTGATGTAGAGGGGACTACAGTGTGAAAGGTATGCTAAAGTTCATAATGTACTGGGGGACTGTGATGTGGTAACGAGATTCGGACCACTGCTGGAAGGAAATTTTGCTGACTGGACCTCCGTAAATTTTAATTCTAGACCCCTGTGTGTACTTGGCCAAACTGAGAGCACTAAGTATCATTTCTGTCTACTGCCTCGTTACACTGCTATAAGCATGAATCACTTCTGATGAGTTTTCCTGACACCAAGAGAAAAAAATGGTGACAGGGAGGGCATGGCCTGTGATTGACAGCATCAGCTCTGTTTCTCTGTGCTGTGTGATGGGGGGGGGGTGTCCCTTCCCTCCAGTCCGCTCTCATTGCTCTCCTCCCTGGTGTAACTTCAGCTCCCTGCCCCCTGCTTTTCAGAGCTGAGAGATCCTGTGTAAATTCTGTGTTTTGAATAAATGTATGGGAAAGATGACTGTAGATAAACAGGTACAACTTGTGTATGAAGATTTGTTTAATCTCTGCGTATCACCTGAATCCAGTCACTTCACTGGGTAAGGGTTTAGAACCACTTTAACAATCAGATGATCCACCTTAGATACTCCTTCCCCATTGATGCCTATGCATTTCACTGGATATAAATATTTTGCCCAAATATTTTGACTTCCAAATAGATTTCAGGGAAGTAAAAACCCCCGTTTTCACTTACCCCCACATGTGAATATTTACACAAAGCCCATCTCTTTTTTCACAGTGGTGGGGTGTCGACACCAGCAAGGCCTTTTCTGCTGACCTAAACACTGACTAAACTATCAGTCCTCACTAGACGTTGTTACAGTTGCTGTTTTCGGCTTTTGATGCTTTTTTTTCTACAGCCAGTAAACTCCCCAGCATGTTATCCTATGTGTCCATGCACACATAGACTGTAAGCAATGTTTTTTGGCAGGGGCATTTTTTGGCTGGAAAAAAAAAACAGAACTAGTGGGTTCTAGAGGAGTTTTATAGTTGTAAATACGCTCCAACACGGCAAAACGCTGCAAAATGCGGTAAATCACGGTAAACCAGCATTTTTGGATGTTTTTTTTGACCCCTCCAAAGTAAAAAAATGCTAAAAAGCACAAACGTGAAAAAAACGCTTCTAAGCACTAATACAAAAATGCTAAAAAATGCTGAAAATGCTGAAAAACGCATATTGACTTTACACAGCTAACGTTACCAGAATTAGTAAAATGCCCAGTGCGCATGAAGCCTCAGAATCACTGACTTATGTGTTGATATATTTACCCATGAATGTTTTATTCCCAATATAGTATATTCTCTTCCTTTCATAGCTTTTCTCTTGGTTTTGCTGCTTCCAGTAGTGTATGTTTTATGTTAGAGCTTTTATCCAATCATATTTCAGCCGTGATAGCCATCATGTGGTGGCAGGGTCAAATAAATCTGCCTTAAGGCCTTCAAAAAAAGCATTGCGAGTGTCTGTATCTTACAGTAAATGGCAATGAAACTGCAGCATTAACCAATCAGATTTTGAGTTAACGACACCAGGATCATCTAGCAGGCATACAATCATGATAAAATTTTTACTTCCTTTGATTAGATAATTGGTCTTAGAGCGTAGAGGAGGGACTTTTTTTTCCATTTTTGGGTGCAGGCAGATTATCTCACTATGTACCAGTGCTCCTGCACAAAGTATAGTTTCCTTGATTCTTATGTAGAGCTGCCCCTCTCCCTCAGTAAGTGCTGGCACTGCAGCCTGAGGTAGAGATTGATGTCAGGTGGCTGCAGGACTAATCCCATCAGCAGGTGGAGGCGCACAGGCAAGCAGCCGGTGAGTGAGTGACACTGACTGACACACTAATCTGGATAGGATACTCAGAGTCATCATTATATTGATCACAGCACAGATTATGCTCTATGGCTCCGTCATAGGTTAAATGGATGTTGGGTGCTGATTGATAGTGCTTAACTTATGGCTGTAATGTGTGTTACAGACTGAAACACAGTATAGCCATAACAAAATCAGCACCCAACAGCCCTGTGACCCTGTGTATTAAATCAAGAAGGACATTAATGAAGGCCGAGGTGTGAAATGTGCAGCCTGCCACTACTTTTTTATATGTCCAATTAAAAAAGCTGTATTGTCCCTTTAACAAACCATTTAAATAATTTGTGCACTTTAGCATTTTGTAAAAACAAATTCTTTAACAACAGACTAAAGAACATGAAACTCTATGAAGCAATTGCTTTTGTGGCAGAAAGTAAAATAAAAAATTAATAAATACAACGTAATACAGAAACCTTGACTAAAATAATTATGTATAGCAACATTACATAAAAAATAATCAAAATTTTATATACACACTATATTGCCAAAGGTATTGGGACAGACCTCCAACTCATCGGATTCAGGTGTTCCAATCCCCTCCATGGCCACAGATGTATAACCTCAAGCATCTAGGCACGCAGACTGCTTCTACAAACATTTGTGAAAGAATGGGTCGCTCTCAGGAGCTCAGTGAATTCAAGCGTGGTACCGTGATAGGTTGTCACCTGTGCAATAAGCCCATCTGTGAAATGTCCTTGCTACTAAATATTCCACGGTCAACTGTTAGTGGTATTATAATAAAGTGGAAGCAACTGCGAACAACAGCAACTCAGCCACGAAGTAGTAGCCGCGTATAATGACCTGGCAAGTTCACCACATACTGAAGCGCACAGTGTGCAGAAGTCGCCAACTGTCTGCAATAGCAGACAATGGCTAAAGACCTCCAAACTTCATGTGGCCTTCAGATTAGCACAACACAGTGCAGAGATCTTCATGGGATGAGTTTCCATGGCCGAGCAGCTGCATCCAAGCTTTACATCACTAAGTGCTATGCAAAGCATCGGATGTAAAGCACGCCGCCACTAGACTCTAAAGCAGTTGAGACGTGTTCTCTGGAGTGACTTATCACGCTTCTCTATCTGGTAATCCGATGGACATGTCTGGGTTTGGCGGTTGCCAGGAGAACGGTACCTGCCTGGGGTTGTTTTTCAGGGATTGGGCTGGGCCTCTTAGTTCCAATGGAGGGAACTCTTAAGGCGTCAGCATACCAAGATACCAAGCATACCAAGACAATTTCATGCTCCCAACTTTGTGGGAACAGTTTAGGGATGGCCCCTTCCTGTTCCAATATGACTGCGCACCAGTGCACAAAGCAAGGTCCATAAAGACATGAGTGAGTGAGTTTGGGGTGGAGGAACTTGACCTCAACCCAATAGAACACCTTTGGGATGAATAAGAGCAGAGACTGCGAGCCAGGTCTTTTCGTCTGATATCAACCTTACAAAATTGCTTCTGGAAGAATGGTCAAACATTCCCATAGACACACTCCTAAACCTTGTGGACAGCTTTCCCAGAAGAGTTGAAGCTGTTATAGCTGCAAAGGATGGGCCAACTCAATCTTGAACCCTACGGACTAAAACTGGAATGCCATTAAAGTTCATGTGTGTGTAAAGGCAGGCGTTCCAATATTTTTGGCAATATAGTGTATATATATATATATATATATATATATATATATCAAATATTGGAGCAGGTAACTCCTGTTACATTGCAAATCTTATTTGTTAAGGATCTCGTTAATGGTGGGCTCCCTAAAACATCCGAAAATGTGATCTCCAAGTTGCAAAAATTCAATTAACAGCAGTGCTATGCTTTCGCAACTTGGAGATCTTGTTCTGATTTGATTTTTGATGTTATATATATATATATATAGCATTTATTGTGTAAATGTTTCTATGATAATAGGTAATATAATAGATTCCACAACAGTAATACAGTACATTATCACAATACAGTATAATATATAACACATTGCTCATTGCTAAGATTAAATAACTGTAGTAGACAAATTTATACAATATAATTTTTTTCCTCTGCTTTTTATGGTTTCCCCAGCTGTTGACCATTTTTTTAAAGACCTGAACTAAGCCCTTCAAATGAGAAGCTGGAAATCAACAAAGACAACTGATGATTTTTAATTCTTTTATTTACTTTGGCATTGCCCCAAATTCCATTTTAGGATTTATGGTGATCAAAATTAATTCAATTAAAATATCTTAATCTCTTCATGCTGTCTTTTTGTTCTCTGATTAGTACAAACCGTTGCACTTTTCTTGCTATGTTTATTTCTTCTCTGCTATTCGTTCACATGTTACTCCTCTTTATTTAGGTTAAAAGCATACAAGGCTTAACTAATGCATGTACCATACTGGCCATAGGTTGCTCCATCTGTCCATATTATTTACTCTTACTACATGTTTAAAAAATGTTTTATTTACTGTTGAAACATTTGAAAAGTTGCAGATATTAAACCAAAAACAACTGCAGACAGTTAAATAAAATGAATATTCACATTAGAAGCTTCCATATAAATGTGCTGCATTCATTCAAAGGAAGCAGTAAAAGCTGGCAAACATTATAAGCTACTTTTTCTAAGCATGTTTCAGTGGGTATTATGTACCGTGTTTGGACAGTTATAACTCGTAGCTATTATTTATTGATGCAGCTATAAATTATTCGCTCCAAAATGAGGCACAGTCACGTAAAGTCTGAATTTTAGAATATGAAAGACTGCAAGTCTGCTGCTGAATGCCTTCTATCAAGTCTTAAGTAAAAGAAATTACATTGAGAAAATCGACTCTTTCAGCAGTCTGCTAGAGATTACTGTGCGGATTCCAGTAGTTAAAGAAGAACTCTAAGAGTGTTTATTGGATGGACATTAAACATACACTTTTGCATTTGCTCTGACTCAGGGGACATGGCCTACTTACTGAATGTTTGAATTTTATCTTGGCAACCTACATCTGGCTGGCCACTAGCTAAATTCTTCAGTTGCCAGCCAGATCAGTAGTTTTCAATACTGAGATCCTGTCAATGGTAGGTCTTGGTGCAGCTTTTGTCTTTGATGCATTAGGTGCATCATAAGGTGAGGACGTTCAATCCACTGGTATAAATTAGGTTATGGTTTAGGTTATTAGGTTACGGTCTGTTTGGTTACCGTTAGGGTCAAGGGTCATGGAAGTTAGAGTTAAAGTGGAACTCTGGCTGGTGAGTTTCTAGGAACAGCATACTCAATGTTCAAACATTATGGCAAACTTTTTTTTCTTTCTTCTTCTTCTACATTTGAAAGGTTTACTTCAGCACACTCCAAAAGTATAATTCAAACCTCCTAAACTATGGTTGTTGATAACAGAACTCCCCCTGTATCCTCCACTTTATAGCATATCTAAAGTATTAACAGCACTCAGCAATTCAAACTAAATTACAAAAAACACTGTCAATACGTAGCTTGAGATACAAAAGTGACATGTTGATAGCAAATTTTCATGTCTATTGACAATCACTTGTGTTATTGAAAGCAATATATCTTGGAATAGGATGCTGTATTCAATGTAATAATATAACAACAAAGTAGTACATCCACCTTCTGCTTGAATGTAAACATTTGAAATGATCTACCCAAGTAACAATTGTATCCAGTTAATGTAATAATTCTTCCAACGAAATCAAATGCATTAAGATGAATGATGTGGAAATTACTCCCCTGGCTGAAGACTGTGGAGTCCTAAATAGGTGCTGTATTCACAATAGGGACTGCGTACTGAAGACTGAAGTATTCCTGTTGGTCATGTCACTTAGGTGTTGAAGGCACAGCATCACTAGGAAAACCAAACTAAAGCTGGCCATAGACAGTTTGACTTTCAGCCTGTTCAGTAGGGACCAGCCAAGATTTGAACTATGTATGAGCAGGCTGAGTATATTCAATTTGTTCAGTTGATCATCCTGGGTACAACCAGCCTCTCAGATTTTACTTGTGATTATTGCTAGTGGCTATTATAGTTGCTAGCAGTAATTACTGTGTTCTTCCGGCGGGGGCAGCTCCCCCTGGCTTCCCCATAATGGCTCGTGGGGATGGGGGAATCAAGCAATATTTATTTCCTGCCTGAAAAATTGCTCTCTCTATGGCCGGCTTTGTGCTTCCCATAGATATGTAGAATTTCAAATGAAAATTCTTAGGAAAAGAATGATCTAAGAAATTTCATCATTTTCTAATCATTAGTGGGTCAAATTGACATTCATTTCGACCTCAGTGATGAGAAAATTCAAAGGAGCAGGATAGAAAATGTTTCTCGAACAAAATAATTTGTAACTGTGTATGATTTGGTTTTTGTTCAGTAAAGTCCATTCAATCCAACATCGGATGTTAAAAGCAAACACATTTTTTTATAATTCAATATTTTTATTAAGAGATTGAAAAATGACAATTAGATCAGTCAAACAAAGATTGTTTCACAGAATATCATATTAGCCCACAAGGGACTATAACCAGGATGATACCTCATGGCAAGAAACATCTTATTTTTCAACAACGATATATAAAGTTGCATTAACAGTTGTACTGTAGAGAGAAAAGGGAAGGGGGGCAGGGGGTGAAGGTTAAAGGGTAAGGGAGGAACCACTGTTCACTTACTGTGAGAACATAAACAGGCCTTGAGCCATAAAAGGGGCCAGAGACCTCTTCAATCAAATTGCTCAATGTGAGAAGAGAAGAAAAAAAAAAAGGTAAAATAAAAGAAGGAAAATTAAATGTAGAGTCAAAGAAGATGAAGAAAAAAAATGGTCAACACAGGACTCCCTGAGGAATCATTACATAGTGCATCCACGGATCCTGTGTTCTATCAAATTTTGTTGTAATATTGTTATGGAGGATGCAGGGGAGTCTATCATTAACCATGATCCAGTTTACTGTAGTCTTAACATTATCAAGTGGGACCAGCGACTGCTTCCAATATTTGGCAATAGTGATTCTCACTGCCAAAACATGTATGAGATTACTTTTTAGGGACCTCATTGGGGAATTTCTGAAAGGGCACCGTTTCCAGAGATCTTCAGATATTTACCCCCGTCACTGAATAAATAAAATTGAACATCTGAGAATCCAGAATCTAGTGACTACAGGACATTGACAGTTCCCAGTTGGCTACAATGCCAAATGCTGATGGGTGCATTTTTGCAACTCGAGTGGGAACCAGATACTAATGCAAAAGCCAAACAAAATCTTTTGAACAACATTCAACTGTGCTGAGAATTTGTGTTCAAATTTTCCTAAGAATCTTTCTAAGATTTATTATCATACACAATTCTATCCATCTATGGCCAGCTTAAGCAAAGCCTTTCAACTGTTTACATTTAAGCATATTTTGGATGTACTACTTTATTATTATACCTATGAAAGTGGTACGATATTCTATCCCTGGATATATGGCTTTTATAAGAATTACGTATTATCAGTAGGCATGTAAGTTTGCTATCATTATTTTGTTTTTGAGTTTGCCGTCCTCCAGCACTGACAGCTCCATGCTTCCAGTCTCCCCTCCATTGCCACCATCTTCTCCATTATTTTTTTCAAGAAAAATGTCTTCCTTTTTAGGCTTCTGTTGTTGAACAGAAGAATGTTGTTGAACAGGTTCTTTAGTGCCCCAGAATTGCAGCTCATGAGTCACACGATGGCCACCTCCATCTAAAAAAAGCACGTGACACAGCTACGCTCCACATATTAAGAAATAAATTATTTGTATCCAAATCTAAGGATGTCTTATGTGGGAAATGGTTCTTTGTACTTATTGTATTTTTTTACTGTACATATACACATCCAGATACCGAACATATGACTGCACAGGATTTGCCAGTAATGACATA